TGCAACTTGTTCATGAGTGTCAGAGTTACCACAGGCCACATTCATGTAAATTGATTTATAAAATGAACATTAAAGGCTTGCTCTCTTCTTCAGAACCTCAACATTCATAAGGAATAAAAATCTGAGAACTGTAGGAGGCTCCTTGATTATTTATTATTTCAATTGATAGCTTTCCATGAGTCCAGCATGTAGATTAATCTGTTCAAAGTAAACATATGCTACTTTTAAAATCTGATGTGCTTAACATTGCATTGTGTATTTTAATTTGAAGATGTGAAATTCAAAGTTGTATTAGATTAAAATTTTCTATCCATTTTGACTTATATTTGGAAACAGTACTGTACTCAATGCTGGGTTAATGTTCTCAGCATACCACTTCAAGATGCCTCAAAATATCTCCTATGTCTACTGCTTTCAGATTATCCCTCATTATATTTATGTCCTGAATTTTAATTTTGTTAAAATTTTACCAATTGCCTAAAATAATTTTTGAAGCAAAGGTCATATAAAAACTAAAGTGAAGGGCCAGCCAAATAGCAAGTGGACTAGAGGACCTGCTCAGGCAAGCACTAGGGGACCGGAGTTCGACCCCCATGCTGTGCCAGCCCCACCCCAGGGGTGTGCTGAAACAGCAAATGAGACTGGGTGTGATGGGGCACACCTGTAATCCAAGCACTTGGGAAGTTGAAAACAGGAGGATCATGAGTCTGATCTGTTCAATGAGACCCTGTAGACCCTGTACTAAATACATAAGAAAAAAAAATAATAACTAAAGTGAGAGCTAGGAAGATAGCTCCACGGTCTAGGCATCTGCCTGGAAAGTGCATGGACCCAGCTTTGATCCCCAGTACGCAATTCCATGCTGGCCCTGCACTGTTCTGGCCACTGAAACCGGATATAGTGGTGACCGTCTGTAATCCCATCCCTGGGGAGGTTGAGACAGGCGGATCACTACAGATCCAAACTGCATAGTGAGACCTTGTACCAAATCAGTCAATCAATCAATCAATCAATCAATCAATCAATCTTAAGGAAAGGAAAACCTAAAGTGAACTTCATGAGCTAAATGCTGTTGTTTGAAATCTTTACATGTTTTCATGGAAATTTAGTAGAAGATTTTTCAACTCGCCAGTCCACCCGGGTACAGTGCTCCAAGAAGCACCATGTACTTACCATCATCTCATCTGGGAGTATTCTGGAGTAGTACGATGGATTATTACACTGCTTTATGTATTACTATTTGCTTTATTTCCAGTGTCTCTTTTGAGTGGAGATGGATGTATTGTGGTGATGTGCCTCTATGTAGTGACTGCTTGAAAGCACTTCCTAGCGTTAAGAAGAATCGCCATCCGGAGGGTCGCGCCCTGCTCACCTGAACTGTGGCTTCCTGCCAACAAGGTGGGGCTCACGGAGCATCTTCCCATCCGACTGGTGACCACAGGTGGGCCTGGGGTTCCATCCCATTCCTGAGCTTTGACAGGCTCTCTGGAGGAAGCCCATCCATGGTGCCCTCTCTCTTTACTGTCCAACTTTGGTAATGGCTCCGTGCTGTGGCTTCGGACTTTCAGCTCCTCTGTGGACTCTGTGTAGTAAGCAAATTACCCTCTGTTAAAACAAAAAAAATCAAGTACTTCCCAAATTCTTTTTTTAAGAATTAGAGAGTGATTATCTAAAATATTTTCAAAGGGCCAGCCAAATAGCTCAGCAGATTAAAGTACCGGCAAGAAGGCTCAGGAGCCGGGATTTGATCCCCAGGCCTGCTGCACTGGCCCTGCCCCCCAGGGTGGGAGGACAGCAATTGATACTGGGCTTGGTGATGCGCGCCTGTAATCCCAGTTCTTGAGAGGCTGTAAACATGTGGATCACTACAAGTCTGATTAGGAGTGAGACCCTGAATATCCTTTAGACCCTTGCCTAAAATACAAAATAATAATAATAGAATAAATAAAATAAAATATTTTCAAGGTATTGTTTTTGGAGACTTAGGATTGCCCTGGAGATGAAACATTCAAATACAGTAGAGATAGAGATACTATAGGCCATGTGAGCTTTTTCTTCCTGGGGGTCATAGGTTAATATCCCCAAGGAGAATACATATTTTTCTTTGGAAAAAATGAGTCCTTCAGTGAACATTGAGTCTTCTTTACTTTATTAACTCTTCCCTCGATGCATTTTCAAGGAAATTTCTAGAAGAGCCTTCTACACCAACTCTGTTTATGCCTTTCACTTACTTTATG